CCTAATTCTTTTTTTGGTAATTAGGGAGACAGTACCTTTTTGTTTGTTTTGTCTTTAGTTCTCTTTTATGGTAAAGGCAACATGATGCAGAATAGAGAGGGAGGTAAAGTAGAACAGAAAGGAGGGAAGAGAAGGGCAAATGAAGGAAGAAATGATAAGGGGAATGAGAAGGAAAAGGTGGAAAATTCTCTCTCCTTCATTTGTACTTTAATTCACTTTTCACCTCCAGTCTTGAGATGTAATTCCCATCCAATAATTTTAATGAGCCGAGAAAGAGCAGCGAAGAGAGGGCAAGAATTAAATCAGTGAGGAGTTCTGCTAACCCCCACCTCCTGATTGCTAATAGAGCCTTGGTAACCCTTCACTGGCTGAAGACAGGCATAGCCTCAGTGAATCATTGTTTGCCAATATTCATCCTCTTCTCCTTTATTCATTCTGTCCCGTTCTATTTCCTCTCCCATATTTCATCAGATTTCTTTTCCTGGCTTTTACAATTTTGATTCATTGCTGCTTAACATGAGAAAGAGCCACCAGATGCTCAGTGACAACTTTCACAATGTCATGTCCTGACAAGCGCTGCTTGTGTGGGGTGGGCAGTTTATATGTATGCTCAGCATGTATTGTCATCTATGGATAGAGCTATAGTACATACAAGGTTAAAGTTGTCATAGAACATTCTTTCTCAGATCATGGACTCCGGTCCACAGGTGTGTGCAGTGGGTCCCTAAATATCTTCATACACCCTACTGTAGGATATGCTCTCAGTGCTGGCTCAAAGCAAAAGGCATGTGGAACATTTGCTGTGGAGGCTTTCCACTGATATTGCAAGGATTAAAGCTACACTTGTTGGAACAGTGTTCATGTATTCTGTGCAACAACTACATCAGTATTCAGTAGAGATATATTCTTCAACCAGTAGATGGCAGTGTTTATAAGTTTGTAGCTGCATCTATGGTATACTCTATGTCTTTTCTCTGAAATAAAGTTTCCTGTTTCCTTGTTGCAGTGAAACAGGAAAGCACATGTGGATTGTTCGCTGTCTGTTCTGTAGGGCTATACACATAATTTCTAACAAAATTCCAACCTTTTCTTCAGTCTTGCACAGCTGTACGGGCTCTTCTCCTATACTGAAATTGCCTACTTTGACTTTACTGCCCACTGAGAGCTTTCATAGGGTTCATTAGAAGCTACAGCAAATTAGATAGCACTCACATCATTTGCTGGCTGCAGGGCATCCAACATCATCTAGCTCTATCCTCCCCAGCCCTACTGTCCCTGAACCCCTCACCCTTCAATTATTGGGTAATAGTTCTTTCAGTCACGGAGACTCAACATGGGTGTCACCGATTTGCATGCAAATGCAGTATGCCAAGGAAAACTCACTCCTCCAGACTGAAATCCACAAATCAAGACATTTTGCTACTCTCTGTCCTCAAAATGTCTCTTTTTCTTAGTGTGCAAGAAGACTGCTTAATCTTAGCCTGTAAAATTTTCCCTCCCGTGACAGACCCAATGGGACAGGGGCTTTTGGAGTGGACTAGCCTTCTACTAACTGATTATGGCCTATGGAGGAGACCGAGGATTTTGTCTGCTTCTCCTGGTCAGAACATGGAAAAGAGCTCAATTCAGCCTCTGATCCCATAGAGACAGCAGATCATTCTCTTATGATGGACAACAACGTGATGAACGCTGAGAGTAAGGCTTGGATTAATTCTCTGAATAAAGACAATAAAGCTTTCCTTCTGGAGTGGATGGAAAGGTGCAATATGGATCTTGTACAGGTGAATGTTCAGAGAAAATATAGTGGCCCTACTCCTGCAGACTGGGTTGTAGAAGCATCTACACTTGGGACAGAAATATTTATCAACAATCTCCCTAGAAATAAATCTATGAAGATACATTAATTCCACTTTTTCGAACTGCTGGAACATTGTATGAGTTTTTTTCATATGATGACTTTTCTAGTAGACAAATTACACAAGTGAAAGCCAAACACCCGAAAGACAGCATGTGTAATGTACTTAGTGTATCCAGGGCTGTGGACTTGTTGCAGGATTGTCTGGGGTGGGCTACCTGACTAATCAAAGCTTGTCTGGGTGTCTGGCTGTTGGTTAGCTTACTGTTTAATTAGATCACTGTTTAATTAGGTTACTGTTAGCTACAAGCTGTTCAAGGGATCTACTGTTAGATGTACTGATGATATTATTCTTTTGCATTGTTTAGGATAATGTGAACAAGCTTTTACCTGATTTTGTGTGGTATCAATTCTGTGTGAATTTTCAATAAAATGGTTTCTGTTTGCACCCAAGCTAGTGTCTTCTAGTTCGTGGGTGCAATTCCCAGCTATAATACCTTGCTCCTGTGTTCCAGTGGCAAGGAAACAGCTCTCTGGTGGAGGCACCCAGGCAGGGTGTCAGGCAGTCTGTCACACCTCCTATGTTGGACAATTCATGTGATAAGAGATAGTTTTGTCTCTGCAATATATACGTCTCACTACATTCCCCACTCTACATTCCTCACCACACTGCACTGCATATACCCAAGTTACTCTGTTTCTGTTTGGGTGTTGGGCCCAGGGGCGGACTGACCATTTGGAAACTCGGGCACTGCCTGAGGGCCCAGGGTCAGTAGGGGGCCCCATGAGATGCCCCTGGTACCTTTTTCATAGGCTTTTTTGAGTTTGGGCAAGGACACAGGGGCCCCATGATCCCCTATTGCACGGGGGCCCCATGAGTTGTCAGTCCGCCCCTGGTTGGGCCCTTAGGATGCCCAAACTTCTATTTCGGTGAATTACTGGGCTTGAAGGATACAAGGATGCAAAGTTTGATAAAGATCCTTCTGAGTTTATCTGACACTTTAGCTAAATGTGGGATGACCATATTACTCCATGTGTTCTTCTCCCCTCTGATGGTCCTGTGTTTTTGCTTGACCTTTTGGGTGTTTTTAATGAAAGTCCAGGCTGGGCAGCCACATCCTGAGATGTCTACATTCCTTGTGTTTAGACTCTCTGTTCTTACCATCTCAACCCATTGTTGCAAAGTTGTTATGTACCTTGGTTGGAGGTCGAGAATATTTCCTATGCGGCTCTGTTCTGAGCACCCCAAATGTGATAACAGTGGTACAAAGCTCAAAGAAGCATGCTTGCTGTTAGCTTGGTAGCAGGTCACTGCCACAGTCAGGGACGTAGTCAAGGTGAGCCAGGGTCATACACAGTGAGACAGCAGTGTGGTCAGGAAGCAGACTGAGGTCCGGGGAAGCAAGCAGAAATTAGTCAGCGACAAGCCGAGGTCAGTTTCCAGAATCCACAGAGCAAGTTCAGGAACAAGCCAGGTCATCAACAAAAGATAAATTAGCAAAAGCAGGAACACATCTCACGGGGAAGCTGAAGAATATCCAGCGATTAGCACATACCAGGGTCTCCTTTAAATAGACACCTTGGCGCCGATGCACGTGGAAGTGCGTGCTGCATGCACTGGTGCACACAGAAGCACCGACGTGTCAGTGCACACTGGATACTAGCCCAAGCTTGTCTGTATGCCAGGACATGTGCACAAGCATTAGGGAATAGGAATGAGCATTAGCTGCACAGAAATGAGCATTAGTTGCACAAGAATGAGCATTAACTTTATTTATTTAATGACAAAAATCCTGATAATCCCAAGTTTGTGTTTCAGGGGGTGGTGGGAGTCAAATGGTAGATAATGGTATGTTCGGATAGGTTTCCTGTAGACTTCAATGGGTAATTACCCTTTTTGGACCCTTCTTGCATGTGAAGGAGGGGGTGACCTAGACATAGAGGTCTAAAGGAAATCTAACCACACAGACCAGTATTTGAAATGGTCATTCATTTAGGAGTACTGACTGCCCCTCCTGAGACATTCAGCTGTTAAACTGATACTGGAGAACCGCTTCCTTATTGTGATATTTAATTCCACTGTCACTTTGACAGCTGAGTCTTGCTCTGTGGCTTTAGGGCAGCTTTGAGTGGCCCTGTCCTCATGTAATCAGTAGGGCTCAGTTGTCAATTTGGCAGCCAGCTATGTCTGTGGAGCCCTTCAGAGCTCAGCTGCCAGCGGCTTCTGGTGCATGGATGTGAGATTTAGCTGTCAAAGTGACAGCCAAGCATTAATGATTACATTAAGAGAGCTCAGATCACCAAGACTTCTGGCAGGAAATTCCAGAGCTCATGCCAGTACTTGCATTGATACTCACAGAATCCCTGCCAGTAGTTTCAATGGTACTTCCAGAATCCCTGCCAGTACCTTCAATGGTATTTACAGAATCTCTGCCAGTGCATCCAATGCTGCTTTCAGAATCCTTACCAGGACTTCCAGAATCCCTGTCTGTACTTCCAAAGGTACCACAGAATCTCTGCCAGTATGTCCAATGGTGCTTACAGAATCCCTGCCTAGACTTCCAGAACTGGGTGTGTTCTCTGACCCAAAGGGTATCTAAGAATCAACCCTGAAAGTGAATGGTTCTGTATTTTCTCTCCAGTTACCCCTGAGCTATATCAAACAGCTATAATACTTATACTGCAAGATTGCCTTACCATTGCTGACATGGATTGACCTGTTTGCCATCTGCCTTGACTTCTGCCTGGACCTGATTACTCTCTTGTTTGCCACTTGCCACTACTCCTGCTTGGACCTGACTATTCTCTTGGAGATTCCATAGTGTACAATCTCCACAACATAGCCTTTCTGTCCTCACTCATCCTTGGTGGGACAATTCTGAGGGCCACAACCTGGTACTAGTTTGCAGTAAAGAGCATTAGGGTTCTCGGCCCAGCTCTACTATTGGGAGCTCTGGTAAAGACCAGCCGGGGCTAAGACTCTGCCCCTTTGGTGAGCCTGTGTTACCCACCAGGGGGTGTTACTATAACAGAGATGCTCTCCATGCATGGCAGATTAACCTACCTTATCCTCCAGGGCACCATCAAACCCTCTCCTACCCGGGGCAGATTGACAACTCCTGGGGCCCCCGGGCAATAGGGGACCATGGGGCCCCTGTGTCCTCGCCCACACCCAAAAAAGCCTATGAAACAGCCAATGAAAGGTACCAGGGGCATCTCATGGGGCCCCCTACTGACCCCGGGCCCTCGGGCAGTGCCCAAGTGCTCAAATGGTCAGCCCGCCCCTGCTCCTACCCTATCCAGGCCCCATAGCAGGTGATATGACTGGTATGGCAGTCCTTGGACCCCTTCTCTTCTCTATCTACACCTCCTCCCTTGGCAAACTCATACACTCCCACGGCTTCAACTACCACCTCTACGCTGATGACACTCAAATTTACCTCTCCACCCCTCACCTCACCCCCACATTCTCTGCCCGCATCACTCACCTCCTAAACGACATCTCAGACTGGATGTCGCTCCACTTCCTCAAGCTTAACCTCTCCAAAACCGAGCTTCTCATCTTTCCCCCTGCCCGCGCCCCCCCCCCATCTTATCCATCACTACCAACAACACCACCATCAATTCCGCCCCGCAAGCCAAAGTCCTTGGCATCATTCTGGACTCAAACCTTTCCTTCCAATCACATGTCAAATCACTTACAAACACATGCAGGCTCCACCTCCGCAACATCGCCAAGACACGCTCCTTCCTTACCCCAGACACCACTAAACTACTCGTACACTCCCTGATTATCTCACGCCTTGACTACTGCAACTCCCTCCTCACCGGCCTACCCCAGTGCAGGCTCTCCCCGCTTCAGACCATCCTGAACTCAGTGGCTAGACTCATCCACCTCACCAACCGCTCCACCTCTGCCACCCCCCTCTGCCTATCCCTCCACTGGCTCCCTATTGCCCAACGCATCAAATTCAAACTACTCATTCTGACCTACAAAGCCATTCACAACACTGCCCCTAACTACCTCACCAACCTGATTCCCAGGTACCACCCTACCCGTACCCTTCGCTCTTCACAGGACCTCCTTCTATCTTGCTCCCTGGTCTCCTCCCACGCACGACTGCAAGACTTCTCCAGGTCCTCCCCCATCCTCTGGAACTCACTACACCAATCCATCAGACTGTCACCTTCCCTCCTCACCTTCAGACGCTCCCTGAAAACCCACCTCTTCAGGGAAGCCTACCCCACCCTCACCTAACAGCCGTTCTCCTTCATTCCTCCTACCACTCCATTCCCCACAGCCATTTCCTCCTGTACCACTACCCCCTCCCTCCTAGATTGCAAGCTCGAAAGAGTAGGGCCCTCTAACCCCTTGTGTGCTATTTGTAGTTGCTGTACTGTTTCATGTATTGTCCCCCCCTCTATTGTACAGCACTGAGCAAACCCTTTGGCGCTATATAAACTCGATGTAATAATAATAATAATAATTCTGCAGCTGGTGTACATACACACTTCAACTGTCTGATTATATCCTTTGGCGCAGTTTCTAATTTAATCCCCCACCCTGTTGAATTTGGAATTTTAAGGGAGATGCTGGGTATTTTAAACAGACTTATAGAAATGAAGGAATGTGAGGAAAGAACCGATGCAGTTGCGTGGAGGTGAGTATTCTGAGCATGGGTAAGCTGTTTAAACTTGTGTGCTCCTTTGAACTGTGATTGGTTTAGTCTATTTGCTCACTCCTATGCAGATGAAATTTAAGAAGAGGTAGCAATTGTCGAGAATGACTTGGAGCAGACAAACCCCAAGGCCTGTACAAATTTGCATTTTCTGTTAAAAAGTTGAAAAAGTGAATTAATAAGTGTATGAGAGATAGAAAACAGTATCTTCTTTACGGTTGCATTTTTGCTAAAATAGAGAATTCTGAATCTATATTTCTTACGCGGCACAGCATCAACAGTTATAAAAAAGAAGTATATTTTTTACCAAGTTGTTAACTTAGCTAAGCTACCCATGAATAGGAGCTGCACATGTATATTTTATAACACAAAATTAATTCTATTTACTATACTACAATTATTGTACTTTTTTATTGGGCACATATTCAGTACATGTTCTAGGCTGAGATTCAGAGTAATAAGAGCAATGAAAAATGAAGATGTTGGTTTATGTGCTTCCAATAATTATACACACATGCAGAGAGGCCATTAAGTCCTGTACCAGTTTTACATTTTAATAAGTAAAGTTATACAAATTATAGAACCATTTAGTACATTTATATAAAAGTTCACCAAACTGGATGACATTTAGTTTGCTAAAGTGCTGTGTATAATAAAATATTAATTAATAAAAAATTGTTATATATTTTTTTCATTAAAGTGTTACTAAACCCACAACAGTAAAATCAGTGTGTCTATGCAGTATGCTTGTTATACTCACTGTAGAACCTAAGGGGTTAATCCTCTGCATTGTGTAAAAATGTTGTTTGATCCTGAATTCTCTGATCCTCCCTTTCTTCCAGTGTCCCTCTCTTGTCTCCTGATAAGACATATGGTGTGGTGACACTGTACATGCTCAATTTGGTGTGTATTGCTAGAGAGGTTTTTTTTTTTTTCCTTGGGAGAGTGCATGTGATCAGCACAGGCACTGCCTAGACAGAGGTCAGGGGCTCTGCATCCTTTTAGAGAAAACTCCTCCTATAAGCTTTAACCAGTGCTCTGCTGAACACTGATAGAAGTCACAAAACTGCTCTAACTGCTGATGAGAAAAGGTATTTAGCAATTTGGGTTGCCACCTCATCCCTTTAAAACCAAACACTTATTATTTACACAGGTTCTGTGGCTCAGTAGTGTGGTAATTAAACTCATTTAGTGCGTATATTCAAATACGCATATTTTTTTTTAGATTTTACTACTAAGCCCCCGAAGAAGCGATTGTTGTCCTGAAACATGTTGGGCCATTCTTCCAGCGGCTTAATGTCTCTCACCCCCCCCCCCCTTCCTGTGGTTACATAGGCCTTACACTTCGCAAAACATGTTGGGCCACTACAATGTCTCTCACCCCCCCCCCCCCCCCCCAATAGGACCTGCCTGGTGGTTATATGCACACTAGCTTTGTCGCAAAACATGTTGGGCCATTCTTCCAGCGACTTAATGTCTCTCACCCCCCTCCCCCCCATAGGATCCATCTGGCGGTTTTTACATCTCTAATCATTAATGTGTTCCTTGTACATGGTGGGCTGTGGGACATTGTCTGCAGGGATAGTATAACTATGATCTTTTAAACTGCAAGATGTTTTTTCATTACTTATTGTCATAATAAAGTACAAATGATTTTACTAATATGTGTTTGAAATTTCTGTGCATTTAAAGTCCATTTGCACTTCCTTTTTTTCTTTTCCTTGTCTGGTTTAATCAGGACGTGGCACTTATTGAAGGGAAAGAAATGGGGGAAAGGTTGCAAATGGACTTTAAATGCACAGAAATTTCAAACACATATTAGTAAAATCATTTGAACTTTAATATGGCAATAAGTCATGAAAAAACATCTTGCAGTTTAAAAGATCATAGTTATAGTATCCCTGCAGACAATGTCCCACAGCCCACCATGTACAAGGAACACAATAATGATTAGAGATGTAAAAACCACCAGATGGATCCTATGGGGGGGGGGGGGGGGGGGGGTGAGAGACATTAAGCCGCAGGAAAATGGCCCAACATGTTTCGCGACAATGATCACTTCTTCAGGGGTTTAATAGTAAAATCTAAAAGAAATATACATAAATTAAATATATCAAATTCAACATGTGAATACAAGAAAAAAGCTAAATCATACATTAACATAATATGGCTTTCATATGATATCAATATGCACCATGCAGCAGCAAAACCCTCCATGTATAAGAGGTAGGCCTCCTCTGTATTGACCTGACACCTGAGCGCACACACCAACCTCCCCCTTTTTTGCTCACTTTGTGCCTTATCTGCATTAAATTAGCCTCAGAAATTGTGTAATTAGTATGTGTTCGGTTTTAAAGGGATGAGGTTGCAACCCTATTAGCAGTTTATATTTACTAAAATAATTGCATTTCCATGTTGTGTGTACTGTGGGAGACCAGATATAGTGAATGGGGGGTCCGGGGTTTAGTAACACTTTAAATACAAATTTCACCATTTAATAAAATTCTTGTTGCACGTCAATCTCTTTCAGCTTTTCGGTCACTTTCTGTCAACATATAGGTAGTGCTCCAGTACAGGGGCGGACTGACCATTTGGAAACTCTGGCACTGCCAGAGGGCCCGGGGTCAGTAGGGGGCCCCATGAGATGCCCCTGGTACCTTTTTCATAGGCTTTTTTGAGTTTGGGCAAGGACACAGGGGCCCCATGATTTCCTATTGCCCGGGGGCCCCATGAGTTGTCAGTCCGCCCCTGCTCCAGTATCAGCTGCACATTATTGCTCTAATGAGTCACCACACTTTCCTGCTGCAACTTCCCTTATTTATTAAACAGCAACAGGAGTCCCCTCAAATGGTGACCGCTGCTATTATTTAACCACTTCAAGTCTGGACACTTTTACCCCCTTCCTGTCCAGGCCAATTTTCAGCTTTCAGCGCTATCACACTTTGAATGACAATTGCGCAGTCATGCAACACTGTACCCATATTAATTTTTTTAGCATTTTTTTGAGACAGATAAAGCTTTATTTTGGTGGTATTTTTTCACCACTGGGATTTTTATTTTTTTGGCTATATAAATGAAAAAGTCCAAAAATTTTGAAAAAAAGTGTTTTTCTTTTCTTATAAAATTTTACAAATAAATAATATTTCATCATAAATCTTGGACAAAATTTATTCAGTTATCTTTTTAGTAAAAAAAAAAAACCAAATTAGTTTATAACCAAAAATTATAATTTTTTTAAAAATTTATTTTTACATTTTTAATTTATTTTTTTATATTATTATTTATGTTTTCTTTTTTTTCTACATACTGCCACCCTAGCGGTACCATGGTGACACTGTACTACTTGTGGGGGGTGAGGAAGATTTTTTTTTTTTTACACTGATTGCTTTTAGCAATTGTATATGCTATTTTATATTTTTTATGTATATTTTGTATTTGCTATATTTTTTTGTTTCCGTGAAAGTGGAGATACCCTTTAAGTTTGACTTATAAATGTCTCATTTTATCTGGGGGGTTTGAAAGCTCAGGCTTAATCATTTTTCCATTTTCAATTCCAATCTTTTAAAAGATGTGATCTTCATCATATCATCTGAAGAATGAACCCTCTTGGCCGGCATTAGAAATATTTCTTTTTTTTTACCGGGTTAGTCTGTCTGTGACTATTCTTGGTTGCTGAGTCTCACTCGCTCTTCTAATCTGTGATTCAGGTCCATCTCTCCACATCTCATTTTCTTTTTTTTTTTCCTCCTATCTTCTGGCTCAAGGGAAATCAGTGCCATTGGTCGGAGCGCCCCTAGTGCACAGCATGCCGAGCCGCACCGGCCATCATGCGGAACATGCAAAGAGTTCTGCTCGGATGAGCACACAATTCAACTGGCCAGCTTCCCAAGTTAATGAAAAGATTCGTTTATCAGCTGCTGTTTGACTGTCATCTCTGCGTATAATGTGTGTGCTGCTGCTGCTGTTGTTGTTGGGATTTATTCATATGATGCTTTTCCAGCATTCCAAAGAGCAGAGCTTGTCAATCTGACCTTAAAGGAGAACTAACATATCCTTTCATTCACTAAAAGAATCTGAGTAAGGTTAAACGGTATTAGTCACAAAAACAAGAATGTAATATATTTCATTTTACCAATCCTTAGCCCTTAATTCTAACCCTTACTCTTAACTCTAAGGTCCCTGCACTACTTTGATGCTTCTTGAGTGCCAGAGAGTTACAGTCGCAACAAAGCTGCAGTACATGAACAGAACTCCTAAACTTTCCTATTAGCAAAAAAAATTTTAAAATCACATTCAAGTCGCATCAAAGTCGCACTCAGCCAAAGTCGCATAAACGTCACATGAAAGTCAATACATTCCTTTTTGGCAAAAAAAAAAAGCAAAATGCATCCAACATGCATTCAAAATGCACCATAAAACACACTGTGAAATTGTCAATCTGCATAGATGTGAACCTAGCCTAAAGTATAACTAAAGGCAAAACGTTTTTTTTCTTTTAGTTTTGGATAGAGTGGAGAGGGATTAGAATGCTTGCCAGCTTTTTATTGCTGTCTGTGCCTCCATCCAGGAGATTCACCCTCTCTATTTGTCCTGTTTACTGTTATTGAAAATAAAGTAAAAGACAATCCCAAATTTTGGTTGTCCACAAAGCAGTAATAGAGGGGAAATCTTCCAATGGGGACACTAGTCCCTCACTTTGGAGGGATATCTTCTCACTTTATGTTTCGACAATAGGACAAGAAGTAAAGGAAAGTCTACCCAATGGGACACAGATTGCATTAAAAAAAAAACTGACAGGGGTTATAGCCCTCCCTAACTGTCCAAAATTAAAAAAAAAAGTTTTGTTTTTAGTTCAACTTTAAGGGCCCGTTCACACCACTTTCAATGTGCAAAACGCAAGTTCCTGTGTGCATTCACTGCATGGGAACACATTGCCCTCTGTTAGACGTGTGCGAGTGCCATTAATCAGGCCCAGACTGGCCATAGGGCACGCCGGGCATTTGCCCGGTGGGCTGGGGCTGTCTGTATAGGAAGGGCGGCTGGGCGACACATAGAAAGAAAAAAAGACATAGTAGGCACCAGCACATAGAGGAACCGGTCTGACCTGCAGCCACTGAATGCTCACTTCTTCTCTTCTCCCTCCTGAAGGCGTTGAGCGGTGGCAGGAGAGCACTGACCGGTTCCTCTATGTGCCGGTGCCTGCTCCTTCTTTCTTTCTTTCTTTCTTTTTTTCTTTTCTTTCTTTCTTTCTTTCTTTCTTTCTTTCTTTCTTTCTTTCTTTCTTCTCTCTTTTCTCTTGCTCTCTCTCTCTTTCTCTCTTGCTCTCTCTCTCTTTTTCTCTCTCTCTCTCTCTCTCTCTCTCTCTCTCTCTCTCTTCTCTCTCTTTTTTTTTAATAATATAATATAACATTTTTAAAAATAATATGCAACCAGGCCCTGGCGGTCCAGGAAAGGAAACGGTCCCCGGGCTTGGGGCTGCTTAGTCTAAAATCCCTGGGCCTATTTTTTTTTGTCCCAGTCCGGGCCTTAATGACACTGAAATGTATCTAGCAAACCTTGCATGTTTGCAGCCACCAAACCATATGTACTGCAGCACTATGTGGTTTGGTACGGTGCCATTAAAAAAGTTGCGCCTGCCATACTTTATGGGTGTCTCCACCCATTGAAATGAAGAAGCTGCTGAAAACACGCCATACGGGAACATGCAAAAACGTGCTCCTGTGAACGTGCATGTCCTGGTATGTTTGCCATGCACAACTGCTCCAGATTCTGTCAGCTCCAGTCTTGATAAATACCCTCCAGTGTACTTTCTTGTTGAAACATTATACTCACATTTTTCTCCAAGCCTGATTTCTGGCAGCCGTATCAATGTCGATCAACTGGAAGAGCACACATATCTTATTTCAAATGTTCCAGGTCTGATTAATCCAAGATTCTCCGACTAATGGTGACATAACGGTGTTTTGGAAGTCAGGCATGGCAAACTGACAGCAGCACTATGGGGGCACCCTTGTATTCTTGTATCCAGGTGATACTACTAGAGCCCGGTGCACCTACAATGTCAGGGTCCCCCTTCTCACTACCATATCCATAGAACAGGTACAGTGAGGCCTGCAGTACTGTTACCCTTCCTATCGCTCTAATGCTGACACGGCTTCTTTTTTTTTTTTTTCTGGGTGAAGCTGTGAAATTATTTTTCTACTTGAACAGTTTTCAATTTAGATTAAGAAAAATTTGAGACTGTGCGTCAGGAGGCGTCAGTAACTCAAGCAGGAATGCCTGACAGAGAGAAGGAGGAGAGGGAGCCAAGGAGATAAAGGGAGAGAATGAGATTACGGAAAAGACGTGGAGAGGGGAATTTGATGCAAGGGAAATTAGATGTATAGATGAAAATGAAGAAGAGGGGGGAGAACGGGAGAGAGCGCGGACCGGATCATTTTTAAAGTAGACAGAAGGTTTTCCAAGAGAAAGAAAAATGGCAAAATGTTATTGGCATAAGAAGCCACTTATACACAGGAAATGGAAAAGATGAAAATAAATGGTGTGATAGATAGCAAGATTATGAAGCTGAAGGTCTGGAAAATAGGAACACTGCATATTCACTTCCAATGCTTCATATATTACTAGGCTGTCATCCTGTCTACAGCACCCACAGCTAAAAGCCGAAGAAAGGGTCAGTCCACCTGGTTTTTGGTGAATGTTGGACACTTAAAGTGGAAGAAAAGGCAGAATATAACTATTACTAAAAATGTATTCCCCCCTCCTACCTACCTGCCTAACCTATATATAAAAAAAGATGTGTGTGCTTACCTATTTTTAATCCAGTTCGGTCACATGAGCCCACAGCTCCCTGCAGGGGAGAGGAGGGAGCACCAACAAAAGCTGGGCCATGGGAGCCTGTAAGCGGGTGCTTCCTAGAGGGTTCTAAATTGCTAACAGTTTTTCTTTTGCTATGTTCATCCTCTGAGGTTACTCAGGTCAATTATGTTAACCTACGTTCACACTTGTGTGGGTTGTGCAGCCCGTGTTTGCATGGGCATGGCAGCCGACTCATTTGACCAGGCTACTGAGCCTACGTTTCCTGCAGAAAAAAGGTGCATGCAACTTTTTCAAAATGTGGCCGCAGGGAAATCACACAGTGCTTTTGACCATGCCATTTCCCTGCGGTTCCCGCACCAGCAAATGCGCTGCACGTCGAAATGCGTGGGGGGTGTCATTAAGAATGAATGGCAGCTCTGCACGTCTCTTAAGGGCAGCACAATTTGGTTGCCGGTGCAGGAACAGCTGCGATTCCTGCATTGGACACCACTCTGCACAGTGCACCTAAAATTTGGGGACAGACCAAATGTTACAATGTAACTCTGTGCAGCATTTGTCCTTGGTTTACCTGCTAGGTTGGTGGATGTTATAAGGAAGGGTTAACACTGCTGCCCAGGTTTTCACGCTCTTTTTCAGAAGGTTACTGCCCCTTGTGGATCATACCATATAAATAGGGGGCCATTAGCTCCAACAGAGTCCTTGTCCAGGGAAAAGGCTGCCAAAATATGCTGTCGGCCTGAGCGACCCCAATCAGGGTTCCCAGCGGAGTTTGAAGCCGGTGGATCTATATGGGCTTATAGCTGCCAGTCATGGATTTACTGATTTTTGTGGATTATCATCAGATCATGGACTCCAAGGGACTATTGCTACCTTCTGTGGATTTACTGCCTAAATGGATTCTTACCTTGAAAGGATTGCTTTTATTGTATACTAAAGTGTGGGGTCTTGTGAGCTACTATGGTGTATGCTAAGTACTGATAAATATTTC